TATGTTGCGATCCATAATTTATTATGCAGCTCAAATTTGGAGCTAAAATTGCAATGAAGTTTTGAAAAGGTTTCATAGGTATTTCTTAATTTTTTTTCTTCTTTACCTACAAACAGTCCTACTTATATGGTTAATGTTGCATCCTCTACTGAACCAATTTTCTTATACACATTACAGCTGCATTTCAAAATTTTGTTTGGGAGAGTTGTCACTTCCAGTTCATCAATTGGTAAATGTATTTAGGGAGGTGGCAAGGCATAGGGCTCTCTGGTTTGATCCTGGGGTATCTTGGCTCACAATTACACTTGTGAGTTTGATCTTTCCATAGACAATATGCCTCAGTGGAAGACTCAGCTTTCCTTTGTTTTACATAAGATAAGAATAGTTCATAAGGAGGAGTCTTTGAGGATGGCTATGCAGTCTTCTGTATAGAACCCTTTTGAAGTCAGATAAAGAATTCAGTGTTTTTGGCTGCACTGACTCTGAATTACATCTTTGTCTATTGAGGTGGTTGTTCAAGCTGAGAGGGAAATTACTATTTTTAATTATTTGCTCTGGTGAATGATATTCTAAGTGCAATTTGAATGCCAGGGAGGATCTTCATTATTTTCATTGTGAATACCCTATGTTTGTCGAATTTCAGCAGTTCTACCTGGGAAGTAGCTCTCTCGCTGGTCCAGCAATTGTCAAAGATCTGACAAGCCCTTGGCTCTGTAAACCTTTAATTGCTTTTGTAAGATAGGCCTGGAAATACAGGTACAACTTAATAAGGGAGTTTAATTATTAGTTTTAATAGCTCATTGTTAAATTAGTGTATTAGCTTTGAAAATATTATTTCCTATCTAATATTAACTTTGTATTACTGGGTGGAAAAGAAATATTATTTTTAATTTATATAATAATTTGCCTTATGTATTTTTATGTTAATTCAAATCATTTTTAATATTACCTCTGTAAAATAAATTATAATAAATCAAAAGAATTCCAAACTCTGGCAGACGGCTTTTTGCCATACTTAAAATTTATTGCTTAAATACTTGCGAAAGACCATCACCTCAGCAGAATGGCCACCTAATCTCCAGAAACTAGTCTGTGATATCAAATCATTTGCAGCACTAAAAGACTTTGCCTCAACTACGCTTAAATGAACAAGTCCCTATTTATTCTATCTAATTACTAAGTCCTAAATATTGCTGTTATTGTTAGAGTTTTATTGCCGTTATTTATTTATTGCATAATTAAACATAGGTTTGGGTTTAGGGTTCCGGGCTGTCTTCCTCTTCTTAGTAAGAAAATTTTAGATAATATAAATACATAGAAAATAAAATCAAGAAAAAGTAAATGTGCAAGGGGAAACCAGCAAGGGAAGACCTTTTGTTTTAGGTTTTAAAATGAAAATATGGGGTCCCTTCAAAAACCGACCAGCGGTCTCGCCTGAAGGAAAGATCGTTGGGAGGTAATTTTATCCCATTTATTTGAAATCCCTTAGATATACAAATTCGATTAAGCTAAAGCGTTTGTCCGCTGGTATGGGGTCTTCCTCATGTGGAAAGGGTAAATTTAAAAAAAACTTAAAATTTATTGTAAATATATGGTAAACTGTTACATATGTAATAATAAATGCATTCTTCTTCTAGTAGGGAAAAAAGTTAATAGTTTCAATGCAATTATATATCCAAATATAAATAGAATAGAAATATTTTATTCACATCCTTGGTTACTTACAAGAGAAACAATAAAGAAAGTTTAAGTATGCTTTCATTAAGTCAAAGGCTTGAGTTTGTTGGCAGGAGTCACAAAAACAGGAGAAAAACTTAAAATTAACTAAAACTTAAATTATGAAAAAATATTATATTATTTATTCTAAATGAAACCTTTCTTCCTGCTGATATACATTCAGTTATATGTTGAATTACACAAAGGAAGTCAAATAAAAAAAATATATAATCAAATAAGCTTCAAAAATCCTTTCCTCCAATATGATCTGCATGATCAGTAAGGATTACATTACAAGTTTATCACTCTGCAAACCGCAGAAGGAAATTTCACAAAATACAAACTGTACATACACTGAACTGCATAAGTGATATAATTTTACATTTTGTTTTTTTCATTTACTCTAAATGAAATACATATTTATATTATTATATAAATCTGGGAAAATGTAATTTAAAATGTACATAAACATAAAGTTTTAATAAAAATTAATTGTGTTAAATGTGTTTGTCATACAAAATTGTATTGGACCATGATGATTAGAGGTGATGGAACTATATTACAAAATAATTCCAACTCAATCATTATTTTATTTATAGCGTGACATAAATAAATATAATCACATATAATAAGATGACCATTTGTTGATTAATGATCAACAGTTTGAAACCAAACTTTATATGCAAAATAAGTCTTTGTTTTGAAGGCTCTAATACTGCGTTTGTCGGGCCACAACCGGTGTTACCTAACTCTGTGAGCACAGCGAAAGAGAGTATCAATAACTGGGGCATGAAACAATTCCTTAGGGAGTGGAATTTATCCCCCGGACACAGGCAATCGAAAGAGTTTGTTAAGGCGATCAAACCAGCTGAATCGAAATGGCTATTCTCTATCTCAAGGAAGGGAATTAGGAAGCTGATAGGTATTCTGACGGGCCACTGCCCACTGAGAAGACACCTCTTCGTAATGGGTATCCTACCAGATCCCTTTTGCCGCTTCTGCGAAATAAAAGAAGAAACTGCGAAGCACTACCTCGCAGAATGTGATAGGTATGCTAGGTTTAGATTTGAAATCTTTGAAGGAGAGGACATCACCAAATCACTCCCCGAGATAAAATGGTCCAAAATCTTGGGGTTTGTGAACAAGTCCAAGAGGTTTATGCAGGACACATGAGCCGACCAAGTCCCGGACCTTTTAGGGATGGGGTACGAGTCTACCCAGGCATTTAACCCCTCGGGTCTTGGTCGCCCACCCTGCATAATATATATATATATCTTTGTTTTGGTTTTTGTGAATTTTAGAAATGTAAATATTTATAATGTATATACAAAACTGAGCAAATGTATTTTCAAATGTCAATAAATATTTCTTATGTAGAAATGTGTAGAGATTAGTGACCGTTAATCGATAGTTATTCAGATATCGTGAGATGCGGTGATGTGCATATGGGGCACTCTCAACACGACACACAAGGATGGCACAATTACACAGAAGACAAACACTTTGAGCCCTGAAGATGATCTCAATAAAAGATCAAACGGCACAATAAAGAAAATGTTTTTCTGAAACCTACATCACACCCGACCGCATCTCACGATATCTGAATAACTATTTCTTATGTATGTGACTAATTTTTTTATCTTTCTTTTTCTGCCTAACATTTTTGTTTTGGTCTGCCAGATGTGTCTTCTTGCTAAACTACTAATTTTCTCTGCTGAATCTTTAAAAGTATGGAGTTAATAGATAATGTTAATAGATAACATATATAATAGAATAAATATAGATAATATTTAACCTATTCACTTTGCCCAATATGCTTAATTAATTAAATTTAAAATTGCAAGTTCTCAAACTTTTTATTAGAAATCTTTTAATCTGAAATTAAAAGGAGCACTTAGATTTGAACTCAGGATCGTGTTAATACCTTAACTGTGACAGCCACTAGCCCACAGATGTACAAAAGTAGCGGTAAAAACCTATTGTCTTCCAATTTGTTCATTAAAAAGCATTCAAATGTTTATAATGTAAAATATTTTTGATCTAGGAACACTGTATTATTCCTCTCTGCCAAGGAAAATATTGAATGTTAAAACACTATTTGATGATTTGACAATAAGGGCATTTGGGTTTGTAGATCTATAGATCTGCAGATCTAACAGCTCTAGATAATTCAAATTTTATAGTTCTACAACCCCACATGAAAAAAAGGGCGAAATTTTTGTCAACAACATCATGGAGCTGGTAATACAATTAGCAGCATTAGCAAGGTCTTAAGACCAAATCTATCAATATTACCTTATCATATTTTTGGCAAAGTTGGTTGAAGTTGGTGATCAAATTCATAAAGTACAAGCACAGTGAAAGAACTAAAGTTTAAAGACACAATCAGATTTTGCTTGGAGCTCTGTGGAGCTTTTTTTCGTACTACAGCATTATATAGTAATCCATTATATTTAGAGGTCTGATTGACCAAATTACTTCTTTCAATTAATTAATGTTTTTATGTAAGGTCTTGGTTGAAATGAAAAAGTTAGTGTCACGAGCAGGATTTGAACCCAAAAAAAGGCAAAAAGGAGGGAAAATTTGAAAGGTTGTAGATTGAGATGGGAGTTGGTGTCGGAGAGGATTGAAGTCACGATAGCTCAAGTGGTTAGAGCATCGGCGTTTCAGCCGAAGGTCGTGGATTCAAATCCCACTCACTGTTGTTTTCCAAATTGTTTTAAGTTCATATGATTGGATGTTGTTTTTTTAATCTATAGAGGTAAAATTAAAATTTATTTTGGAAAATAATGTATAGGGATAATTTTGAATACAAATATTGTTTAATATTGATGTTTTAATTCCTTTTGATGTGATGTAATTTTATGAATAATCGGAGTTTTATGTTTTTGTGATTTTTTTTTGCCTTCTTATTATAAGAAATATAATATTTTTAAAAATAAGTTTTTGGCGCTTCTGAATATTTTGCTGTGCCCAATTCATAACATTCTATATAATAAATGTAAAATTGTAAAATACATCCGTATAGAAAAAATATAAATTTATTTATTGTGGGTTTTTATTTATAAACATTTTTCTCACAATATAAATTATATTAGATTAAACGAAGAACGTTCTTGTATATTTATTTTCATTCCTATAAACATCAATACATTAGTGTTGAAATTATAATATTTTTGTATTATTATAGAAATATAAAGTAAATAATTTGTAAGATATTAATATTATAATTTAATATTGAGCCTAAGCAATGCTTTTTGGAAGATCTGCTTTCAATCTAAATCTAATCAGCAGGAGGTTGCTGCTGATAACGGTTTATAGCGTTCTTTGCAGATCGGTTTCATTTTTTAAGTTATATAATCCAAATAGAATTTAATACAGAAAAAGCACTTAATATTTCCATCACAGAAATATTCCTGTTGGATATTCCAGTCCTAAATAGGACGGAAATCTTCATAATTTTCATCAATATGCCCTGGCCGACAGATTTCACATTCAGATAATGTGCAAATTCTGAATTTAACTAGATAAAAAGCCATGGAGTTCGCAGATATGATCAGAATCCCCAAGCTGGACGGTGTGGTGATGGTGGCCCCTTGCTTGAAGCCAATCGAAGGCACCCTCTGCATCACCGGTCATCACATGATCTTCTCAGCTAGGACGGAAGGAGTGGACGAGCTATGGGTAATTTACTGCTGAAGTACCACAAAGTTTTAACAGGTCTTTTGTCAGATTTTGAACAGCATTCCAAGTGGTTAAGCCTGTGGCGTTTATGAAACATTAAAGATTTTTTTGTGACTGATAATTGTAACCATTTTGTCAGTAGGTCTGATTCTAAGCAACTTGAATTTTAAAACTACATTTATTGTCATCTAGCCGTATTTTATCAAATATGGTAACAAAACGTATAAGTCAAAAAATGAACAAGATTTAATCTTAATAATAATTAGTTGAAATAGTGAGGAATAATCAGGAATGAATTATTTTAGAAAAACACTTCATCATTTTTTTGCCAATGTTTTGACCTTTATTCGGGTCATCTTCAAGGCATAAAGTGTGTCGCTATTCTTGTGGTGGCATGACAACTGATGGAATTTAAAATACCAAGTTACCCCATTGTTTTTAATTGTATGTAGTTAGGGTGCACAGTAGATGAATGTATTTATTAGAGTGAATGGAGATGTTTAAACTAGATTGTCATTTAGTAGTATGTGATGTAAGATGTAGGGCCATGGTCAGAATACGCCATGACGGTCCACCATATGTTACCCATTAGGATAGAGGAATATGTTGGTGTGAGTAAGGATAGGCTACTGACAGAGTGTTAAGTACCTCGGTAACTTTCCAAATATGTCGATGTAGATGTAATAGTTGGGGTGTAAAGTACTGCGCCCTTTGAGAGCTATTGTATCCTCCGATCTCTTCCTAGAGCACACCGTTGAGTCCTATTTCATCAAGCAACTTGATTAGTAGGCCCAGTTTCAATGGTTGAATCTCTTCTATGGTCACATTGTACATTCCAAAGCACTTCCTCCTGCGGGCAGTTGTAGCACTGCAGTTTGTTAGTAGGTGTGCCTCTTTGCAGAATCTACATATGCCATCTTGGATTATTCCAGTCTTCTTTAAGTGTCCATTTAGCGTGCAGTGTACTGATAAGAATCCTATTAGGATTCGCAGTTTATTCCTGCTTCCTATGACACATTCTGTAATTTCTTTTCTTCCGAAATTTGTTAGGAGATTCTTGGATTGCCTGTGTCCAATGAGTGAATTCCATTGTTCCTTCAGTTTCTTTCTTTTTGTCCTTCTGTCTGAGATACTCATTGATAGTGTGGGTTCCTATGCCACAGAAGGGTTCGGGTCCTACTACCGGTGTAGCAGTTCCATTCCTTGCAAGGGTGTCCGCTTTCTCGTTGCCTTCTACTCTCATGTGTCCTGGGATCCAGCAAAGGCTGACTTTTTTCTGCATACCTAACATGTTTAATTTGGTTTTGCAGTTCAACACCATCTTTGAACTAGTGGTATTTGAGCTTAGTGCTTTGATGGATGCTTGGCTATCTGACATGATAGCTATGTTCTTGTTTTTGTACCCTTTAGTCAAGTTGAGTTGTGTACAAGTTCTCTCGATTGCGTGAATATCAGTTTGGAAGATAATGGTGTATTTTCCCATGGGTTCTGAGTATTTGGTTCCAGGACCGAATACTCCTGCCCCTGTACCTTCTTGTGTTCTAGATCCATCTGTGTACCAAAAGATGGTGCTATTCCTTTACTTTTTGTCCTTCCTGCCAAATATGTTTGAAAGGTAAGCTCTGTGTAAAGGGGCGGGTCACAAATAGCATGTGTCTGAGGAGAGTAAAGATTATAGATAGATTGATAGTCATCATGATGACATGATTATTTGACAAGAAGAAGAATAAATATTTGAAAAGAAAGGGATGATAGTGTGAGTAGGGAACAAATGGAAACACTGCCATATAAAATGTGAAAAGCTAATATGTGAGGTGTCTGTAATGGCCATAGGCTGACCAGTGGAAATTTTTTTTAATGCTTTAGCACATTATTTTACCTATTTATTATTTAAAAAAAACTGATGATATATAAAATGACATAATGAATTCAGTCTTTTAATTGTTCAAATGGTTTTTGTTTTCAGTTACTCCATGAAAATGTCGATGCATTGGAAAGCAGGCCAGCAGGACAGCAGAAAGAAAGAAAAATCCCAGGTGGAACTATTGTAATTAAGTGTAAAGACTTGAGGATAATCTACTTAAATATAAGCTCGTCCGATCAACATTATTACGACGTCTTATCCTCTTTGGAAATTCTCAGTGGTCTAGGTTTGCTTTCATATTAATCACTTTTATTACTATAGTTCATTCAATGCGAATTTCAGAAAATCCAACCCTCAAGTATCCGTTTTTCTTCCGTCCCATGTACAAAATCTTAGAGGATGGCTGGACAGCGTTCATTCCTGAAGTCGAATTCACAAAAATCCTCAAACATGATGAGTGGAGGATTACTACTGTCAATTCTGACTATTCGGTACGTTTTAACTGAAAATCTCTTTTCAATTACCATACTTTTTTCAATTTTTAGGTATGCCCTAGTTATCCCAAAACAGTTGCGGTACCTAAATGTATCGATGATGAAACAATCTTGGCAGCTGCGCGTTTTAGAGAAGGCGGAAGGTTTCCTGTACTCAGCTACCGGCATGAAGGAGGAGTAAGAATGTAAGGCAATTAAATAATTAATTATTTTATATTTTTAATATTGTTCTTAGGGTGTGCTAATACGCAGCAGCCAACCTCTCTTAGGGCCCACGAACAAGAGGTCGAGGGAAGATGAAAAGTTAATCAATTCTGTGATCCCTTCCGGAAAACGGGGCTTCATTGTCGACACGAGAACTCTCACACGTGCTCAAACAGCAAAGGTTCACTTCTTCCACTCTTACTATATGAAAATTATGACTTCTTTTATTCATCCTTCAGTATGAAATTTCAATCGTTTGTTTCAGTCAAGAGGAGGAGGGTTTGAGATGGAAATGCATTACCTCCAGTGGAAAAGGATCCACACTCCTATAGACAAATATCAGAATGTCCTTGAAAAACTTACAAAACTAGTTGAAGGTAAATATTCTTCACCATTGTAGTTATTTAACAATAAAGAGCGTGATTTTCTGCAGCCTGTAATGATGTTTCGATAAGCAGTGACAAATGGCTGTCAAAACTCGATTCGTCCGGCTGGCTAACTCACGTACGTGACACACTCAACTGTGCTTGCCAGGTCGCACAAATTTTAGATCAGGTATCGCTTTGTCAATGTTTATCTTTAACATTTAGCATGAATTGAATTAATTTTGTTTTAGGAAGGAGCATCAGTGCTGGTTCATGGAGCAGAGGGTATGGATGCTACACTCATCGTGACTTCATTAACACAAGTTATTTTAAATCCAGACTGTCGGACGGTCAGAGGGTATGGACATTTTATTTTAAATAGAAAAAAAGTCTCAATTATTAATTTTGTTATTACCGTTGTTGTACTTCATGAATAAGTGCCTAAACTTCATCTTGAGATTTTGTAAAAATTAGAAGTTCTTTGAATTGAAACCAACGTTTTTTTCTATGTGTGGTGGTTAGTGACCGTTAATCGACATTTATTTAGAAATCGTGAGATGATCACACCAGACCGCATCTCACGGTTTTTTTCTATGTGCATGCAGGCTGTGGAAGAAGTTAGTTGTATGATTCACAATTTACAATTTTACAATTTTATTTCTTACTGACATGCTCAGGCTGACACTTATTTTGTGATATTGAAATGCAGACTTTTAGAAAAATTAAGCAATTTGTTGAAGTCATGAGGAGAAGTCAAGAATGAGGTAGTTTAGAAAAGCACCTTTTTTCATTTTTTTTTTTGCTGACGTTTTGACCTTTATTTGGGTCATCTTCAGGGCTTGGGTAAATTACAAAACATATGTTGATTGGAAAAAATACAATTAAAAGTGTAAATATAAATTTTGAACAAGTATTTCAGACTTTATTTTTGTTTACTTCGTTTTTTATTTTTATTTTTTATATATTTTTTTATATTTTTTATTAAGTTTTACACTTTTATGAAACGGTTAAAGGTTGCTACATGAATTTTGTACTTTAGAAGTTAATGTTAATTTTACGTGGTATGTACTTTACAAGGTAGACAACTTCCTATGTCACATTTACACCCAACACACGAAAAAATATTTACACTGTTCCATTTCCTTTATAAAGTATTGTCTCCTTCTTACATTCATTATACCATTAAACATCCCAAACCAAAGAAACTTCCTGGCTGTGACTTAGTTAACAGCATAAATTGAAAAAAGAGTTGATTTATTAACTTTGTAATATTTCCATTGCAGTTTTGAAGCAGTAATTGAACGAGAATGGCTTCAAGGTGGCTACCCATTTGCTAAAAGGCATGCACACTCTTGTTACTCTCCAATGGCGATAAGGACGAAACAAGAAGCACCTACGTTCCTCTTATTTCTTGACTGCGTTTACCAAATCCACCATCAGTTTCCCTGCAGCTTTGAGTTTTCTACTGAATTTTTAGTACTGCTCTTTGAACACTCGTATGCTTCACAGTTTGGTAAAAATAGGAATATTTTGGATTGCGAAGTAAAAAACATGTTATATATAATGCTTGTTTAACCATACGTTTTGGGTATCCACCACTTTACAACTTTTTTCAATAATTTATTACAGTGGTACCTTGAGATATGAGTTTAATTTGTTCTAAGACCGAGCTCGTAAATCAAAATGCTTGTATTTCAAATTACCTTTCCACATTGAGATGAATCAATATGAGATTTATTTGTATTAGTTTTTTAATTTCAATTTTTTTGACATTGGCAAAGCCGATTGCTTATACATAGTACAAATTGAAATCTCGACTTTGGTGTTAACTTAATTATATGAATTAATAACAAATTATGCTACATCCAAAAATAAATAATTGTAGGCACATAAAAAACGAAAAAAAAAACAAAACACAATGCTTCTGCAGTGCGGTAAAATGTGAACTGAAGAACCATGTGTGTGGAAAATTAAATGATGTGGTGTTTATGACATCATGCTGCAGGTTTGTCTCTCAAATTCTGGCTCCAGACAAAATTTCTATTATGGATTTATCTCGTAGCTCGAGGTACCACTGTATATAAACTTCCAATGACAGTAGCAGGATTTAAACTCAGATCTAGTAGCATAGCTAACAAAAGAATGAAACATCATACCCTTAATGTCTTAGCCGCATCTTCTACCCCCATTTTTGGTTTATATTATATATTTATTTTTTTTAATTGTTTTCAGGGACATTTCTGGGAAATAATGAATTGGAAAGGGAACAGCTTAAGGTCTCACAGACTACTACAAGCCTGTGGTCTCATATCAACCAGCTAGATATCTTACCTTCCGTTCTGAACCCGCTTTATGAACCAAACAACACAGTTATCTGGCCATCAGTTGCCCCAATGAGCCTGGTACTTAACTTGAGAGAAAAGCAGCAATCAATTATTATTATTATTATTTTTTTTTTTTTTTTTTAGGAACTCTGGGCTGGTGTATTTCTAAGATGGGTCATGGACAGGAGTGCAGAAAAAGAGTTTTGGACTGCTATATCGGCTTTAAAAGAGAAGGAAAAGGATCTCCGCCACCAGGCAGTTAAATTGAGGCGGAAGTTGGCCGACCTTGAAAGAGAGTTGCTAAATAAAGATGATTTGTTAGAACAAGGCAACACTCTTGACATTAAACATTGACAAATTTTATAAGACATTTATCATTTTAATATGATTTATTAAAAATGTACAATGTTATTTGTTTAGTCATTAATGATTTGTCTTAAGCCCAGCATCATTGTTCAAACCGTTCATTGTGCGGTATAGAATTTGTTGTACTTTCGCTGAAAGTTCATGTCAAGGAGGTTAAAGAGTAATTTAGAAAAGCAATGGGTCCACCAGAAATCTTTATAGAACGTTTGAAACATCTGAGAAATTATTTATTTATGATTAAGAGAATATTATATGATAATGTTATAGTTTTTAACATAAAAAAGGCAACCAGAAATGGCTTTAAACACATATATTTCTATTGCATCGTGTATTAAATACATTTTTTAAAATTGTTTCTTGTTATAAATAAAACTCATTCAATCGCCACATTGAAATTTAAAATATTCATCTCAGATTGTGCAAAATAATTAAAAAGAACACATGCAACTGAACACAAAATTGGTTATTTATCAATGTATTTATTTTGTAATTATGTGCTTGGGCTCAGGATGGATTTCCAAAAATGTATAGAGGGTAATCAGTATTTTTTTTCTGGTCCAAGTTATTGTTTGTTCCATTTCAAGTAATAAATGTCATATAACTTATAACATATAACTATAATTTTTTTAAGAATATAACTGTACTTGTTATAGATCACCCTCATACTAGTCATCCTAAGAATATAATTTAGCAAAATGTACATTTATATTTGGAGTTGCTGTGTAAATATTTGTTGAAAGTATTCTTTCCTCCTTTATTTATATAAACATATAAAAGTATTTTACTAATTGTTTTTCCAAAATGCGTGACCCAAGTTTCATGTAAATCCTGTGATAAATGTGAATTTATGTGTAATTTTAAGCCCTATCAGATGAGTTTTATAACTAAACCTTGTACAAGAAGTAATTGTTAGATAAGTATTGAAGGGCTTTATAATAACCAACCTTTTTTTCCTGACAGCTATCAACCCTAACAGTTATTTAAGCTCTGTTACAGTTTTGAGTATAACTGTAGCACCATGCCACCAAATGCAGGCATGAGGCCCACAAGGGGGGACTGGGGACTTCCCTAGTCGTCTCGTTTACTTTTAATATATTTTGAGACGTTACAGAGCTCTTTGTCTGGGATGTGAATAAAAACCATTTACTGTGTCGCATATGGAAAAGTCCACATGCCTTGGAAGGGAACCAGGGCATTTTGCCCTGGGATCCCCCATGACCCCCTGCCAGGCGAGTGCCGCCGAACCCCCAGTGAAAGCCCCAGCCAGCGACGATTCCCATCCCCTCGGGTTAATGCAAATTAATTGATGAAGTTAAAATGTTTTTGTTTTGTTAGGAATTTAAATGAAAAAGACAGTGAAGAGAGAGAGTTTTGTGTTTTTCAAGAACTGTATGATTTTCGAAGTGGAGTCAGTGTTGTCTTCAAGGACAATTTTAATGTCTGTAGATATACCAAGTTTGGTACTTTGTACTGAAAATAAGCTGCATTTGCAAATAATGTGCTTGATTGTTAATCTTACTTTGCATTTTTGGCACTCACAGGGAGGCCTATTACACATTAAACGTCCATGGGTCAGTCTCGTATGGCCAATGCGAAGTCTAGTGAGGGCTGTGTTTTCTTTTCGGCTTTCTCATATGGAGCTTTTCCAAGATTTCACATCATTTTTTATCTCTTATAATTTATTGCTTATGCCTGACCAGTAATTTTTCCAGAGAGACCAAATTCGTATTTTGATATGGTTTTTGTAATCTTGCAGCATAGTTTTGTTAAATGGAGTACCATCTTTTATAGCATTTTTGGCCAATTGATCGACCTTTACGTTGCCCGGAATATCGCAATGTCCTGGGATCCACTTGAAGGTGATTTGGATATTTTTTGGGTTTAGGGATCTTACGGAGTGTAATATATTTTGCACGATGGGATTAGGGAAAAGAGATTTTGAATTGAGGTTAAAGAGGATAATGAGTAAACAGATTATGATATGATTACTTTTAGGGTTGTAGAGCTGTAGGGATTTTTCAATGCTAGAAGTTTGGCTGTGAAGTTACTAGATTGTTCTGTTATACTGAATTGGTGTTCACTATATTTGCTTGAAATGGCAGCACCTACTCCTTTGTTTTTTGCTCCGTCTACCTGTCATTATTCTACAATATTCAATATTATATACAAAATATGACAAAACCATTAAAACTGTAAAAATGATTTCAGACAATGAACATCTTTGATGAAATGGGAATGAAAGCCCATTTGTAAGTATGTTGTGGCCCTCCATTCAAACCTGGGAATTTTACGGTGATGAGCATCATGACAAAGCCTAAACCGTTGCACTACCACTTCATTGGCTTCTAAGTTACATACACATATTCCAAGCTTACCTATATTCTCAATATAGTTGTTATTATTATAAGAAAAAATATAAATAATAATATTGTTTTATACGACCAGGCAGATGATACTATATAATACTGGTTGATGCTTGCGACCTAGAAGAGCCTGGGCCTCCTCAAGAATCAAAAACCACTCTCTTCTCTCCTATGCTTTCTCTATCATCATACTCCAAACTTTCTAAGGCCCTCCTCTATGTCATCCAGTCACCTCATCCTCTGTCTTCCTTTCAGTCTTCAACCCAGTCTTGTTTCTAGCATGCTTTGAGTTTGATATAAGATCCTCAGTTTGCCTGTTTTTTATATAGGATATATCTGGCTTGCCGAACAGCTCTCACTTTTTGAATTTTTACAAAATCTATTTTCAGAGAACATATGACTATCTTTATTCTGACCGACTTTCCCATAAATCTAGTCATTTTGCTCTCTTTATTGATACCCCAGCTTTCATTTCCATGCATAATGACAGGTCTAATAATTGTTTTGCAAGCAATGACTTTTGCTGCCTGTGTTGTTTTTTAAATTTCAAAACTTATTTAAAGAGAAGAGGTACCTAATCATGCTTTAACCTCAACATTTATGCCATTCTCCATTGACACTTGTACACCCAGGTACTTAAAAACTTTTGTAGTGTCCAAAGAACAACTTATTTATCTGCACTTCTTCCACCCGTACTTCCTTGAGTCCTTACTGTTTTCATACACTTTGTTGTATTCTAAATGATTTTCAGGCTAGCTTCTTCTGCAGTTTCAAACTCCTCCAGTGCAGGTGAAGTGTATGCTGTTGTGATCACATTTTTCACATAAACTGTATGCTGAGACAACCTATTATAGAATAATCCCTATATATATTTAGAAGTAACAGTTGAGAATTAACTATTTTAATCAATTATGTGTGGTGATTAGTGACCGTTAATCGATAATTATTCAGAAATCGTGAGATGCGGTCTGGTGTGATGTAGGTTTCAGAAAAATATTTTCTTTATCGTGCCAATGTTTCGATCTTTATTGAGATCATCTTCAGGGCTCAAAGTGTTTATCTTCTGTGTAATTGTGCCATTCTTGCGTGTCGTGTGGGGCACTTTCAACACGACAAACAAGAATGGCACAATTACACGATAAAGAAAATGTTTTTCTGAAACCTACATCACACCAGACCGCATCTCACGATTTCTGAATAATTTAATCAATTATATTTACAATCTATGGTCTTGGTTGAGATGAAAAAGTAAGTGTCAAGAGCGGGATTCAAAAGCCATAATTGAGAATATGGCAAAAAGAGGGACAAATTCAAAATGTTGTATATTAGTCGAGAATTAATTAATATTTTTATGTAGTTTTTGGTTGAAATAAAAAGTTAGTACCATGAGCGGGATTCAAACCCACGATCTTCGGCTAAGCCCGCTCATGGCACTAACATTTTCATTTCAATCAAAAACCTTACATAAAAATATTAATTAATTGAAAGAAGTAATTTGGTCAATATACCACTAAATATAATGGATTTAATTAGCGGAGAAGTTGGTCTGGTTATATCGAAATCACGATAGCTCAAGTGGTTAGAGCAGTAATGTAATTATGAATCTATGTATAAATAAGCATATATTTCAAGGTGTATTCTCAATAGTTGTTTTCAGTAACCAATGTTATAGATCAATTTTTGAAAAAGATAATTTTTCTCGCAGAAGTTATCTTACTATCTTTTCCAAAAAGTGAATTTACATACCCCACCTCAAATCATTTCTAACGTTACAGATTGGCAGGGTTGGTACAAGAATTATTATTTCAGAAGTTTTTTATTTAATAAAATATTTTTGGATAAACTTTTAAGTAATAATGGTGAAATATGGAAAATTATAATCAGTATAACTTTATAGAATATGCGTTGTAATATGTGTTCCAGGGGTTTTCAGTTATGGCGTTGTAAAGCGTGAATGTAGCCAAAAGGAATGTTATTCCAGTGATTATGTCTGATTATTTGGCCAAACACTTAACTGTTCATAAGACCGAATCCTTTTGTGAGTAAAAAAGGGTTAAAAGTTTGTGAACATCGTTTGTTTTTTAGGCTGTGGGCAGGGGAGAAAATTGTACTTCAGATAAAAGGGCATTGACAATTACAGGGCCTGGATCTTAGGTACCAACGGATGTTATTACACGAGGAGGGCAATTCCTTTGTGTTCAAGGCTAAATTCCTTCCTGGCTGGACCACCTGCAGCCCCACGCCCCTCCACACTGGAAGACCAGCTCTACCGTACATTCTATCCAACCGTCTTCACCGTCCACCTTCTTTCTGACGGCCGTTTTCCGTGTCCCTCGGTTTATTCAACGACGCAATACGACTCGGGCAGGAAAACAGGCCTTCATTTTGAAAAGAAAATCAAATAAATAAACGACGTCGTTTTCTTACACAACCTCTCGATCGTTGACTTCTTCACCATTCTCACACCAGCTCTTCGCCCGAGCAAACCTATCATCACACGGTTTCATAATTACAGCACAAACAATAGTATGACATAATCATAAATAAGCGACATTCCGAGCTTTTCGAACGTGAGCAATGAGCGACTGTAAAATCACAAGGAACGAGGATGTTATGTATTTGTACTTTTATTAAAAAAATGTTGAAATGTTTATTATAAAAACTAAAGATTATATTACATTAAATAACGATGTTTTCTTATATTTCGACCTTAACAGTTTAATTTCTAATTTTTCCTTCTTGAAGGTGGGAAATAGGTCATCTCAAAAAAACTACAACCAGTTTTTATCCACAACGTTTCGGATTTATTTTAATCCTTCCTCAGGTGAGTTAACGTAATGGTTAAAACAGTGGTCTTCAGTCATTAATATTTTATAACAGTTTATTTTAAAAAAGAGCCTGTGTGGTACATATTTAAGTCTTTCAGACTCCGAACAAACGTTTTATTATCCCACCTTCAAGAAGGAAAAATCATACATTAAATAACATTAGGTACAAAATTAATTACAAAAAATTTTGTTTCAACACTGGAAATTAAAAAATAGATTATAAATTGTTATTAAATCATCAAAATTTCAAATTCAATTTCAAATAAATCAAAAGATATTTGAAATTTAGGATTTTTTGTTTTTAAAATTTCTTTAGGGTTCTTGAGAGACTTAATTTAAGCCATTCGTTTTCTCACTTTTACTGTTTTTAAGACCTCTGGGTAGCGGAAATCACTTTTCCTCGCGGGTGCTGTA